GTCGCGTGTCGCCACGAATATTTCTTTTAAGGAGAGCTATAGGATTACTCCATACCTTTGTTAGACAAAGCGTTCATCCCGTGACCGCGGCTACGTTCGGCGACTGACTGTCGCCTCGAGCCCAAGCTCATTATCACAACTCTCGAACAATTACAATTGGATTGAATAACTACAATTGTTCAATTACGGACTCCGGTGTTCTTTCATCTCCGACATATATAAATAGATTACAAAATATTAGGATTAAAAAATCAGACTGTATGCTACCTATACATACTGTTTTATGTGATACGTGATACGTGTACGTAAAAAATAACGTAAATAGACAAACAAATATTTAAAAAATCTTAATATACATACCATATCAATACACGAAGAAAATAAATTAAACTGCACGTCAAAAACTAAAATGTGCCAAACATCCAAACGACGATAGCATCGAGGAGCCGGTCAAGCGAACGAGCGGTCATGAGTGGACGTTAAATCAAAATGGAAGCATCCGTGAAACACGATTCGGTTCTCTGACGCGCATTATTTACCGTGTACTTTTACACCGCCCTACCGATTGTTCGACAGAATCCACCGGTACGTTCGTTGTTAAATTAATGATTAAATCGGCTGACGAAACGTGGTAGCGCACGCATATTACAGGCGTACGTACGAGGAACGTGCGTACGTGCGTGCAATATTCCACGACCGTGTTTTACGTATGCTTCACGGCAGATCTGAGCGATCTATAGCGCTCGAGGTCGTATGGCAGTGTATGTTAGTTCACACAATACGTTGCCGATTTGGTGCAACATTCTGGTTGACTTGTGTCGATGTGTTTTCAACACGTGCAGCAAAAAGGTCCCCTCGAATTTGTTTTTTTCGTCTTTTTTAATGCTTAATCATAAAACAACTTTGTATATTTCGAATCGTTTTACCGTAGTTATACCGTTTGATCAGTGAATCGAGAAATAGTTCTGTCCTTTTGGAAAAAGTTTCGTTGTCTTCGATTTCGTTTCCCCATGCCTTTTTATATTTTTTTCTTTTAAACATACAACGAACTTAGAAATGAAAATTTTTATACTTTAAAAATTCCATTATTTCAATGCTTTTTAAATAATTGTGTCCTTACACGCTAGATAAAACAATGAGTTTCGTGTAATAAATGTTCCATCCTTTTCCGAACCACCATTTCCTTTATTTAACGGTAAAGAAAATATTATTATGAGCTTTAATACTTTAGAATTTTAATTACAGAAAGTTTCATCCCCTCCCCTCAACTCACATTTTTTAATCCTTTTCAGTCCATATATTTTAAAGGAACTTTTTATACGTTAAAACGAATGCTGTTACTTGAGAATTTTAATTAGAAAAAGTAGCTTCGTCCTCTTTGAATTTATCTTCCTATTACTTTTCGTTTCCTTTTTCTAATGGTTTATTTTTCCACGAAGTAATGAATCAATTAATATGTATGTTCTCTGATACAAAAGTAATTGAGGGTTTTAGCAGAATTTCAAAACCAAGTTGGAAAAGAACTGTGGAACGGATAATTGTAGGAAAACATTGGTATTTTGCGCTATGCTTTATGTGGAAGTTATATAGAATCTGTGTCAAAGAATATTTTCGTTCAACTGATGAAACTTTTAACTTTGATGTTCTACTTTGCGTTATCCATTTGATCTGTACTAATCAGAAATGAAACACACACTAAGAGGATTAAATTATGGACAGAGATTTCTACTAAACGATGACGATCAACATTTTTCAAGATATCGAGATGCATTAGATATAAAAAGTTGAAGATTACGTAATCCAGAATTTTTAATGTAAAACATTGAAGATTGAATTACAAATAATATTCGTTAGATATTTTATTTCTTCTGTTTGTACAATAACGTGAAATTTTGTAATCAATTAAAAGAAAATTATACTTAGAAAATTCACATGAAAAATTAGTATAAATACCAAAAAATATAAATACCAAAATTATCATAATATTTCTTCGATATGTTCAGAAAATTCAATATAAGAAATTAGGTACAGATTTAATTGAAGCAAACAGAGAAGTTTAATCCCGTCCTTGCGTCGGTGAAAGTTCAAATTCTTTGTTAAAGAGAACAGCTTACAAGACAACACAAGTTTTCAAACCGTCGTTAGAAGTTTCCAATCTTCGTTGCAATGCTTCCACAAATTAAAACTTCCTTGTTTATCATCAATGCAAGTATAAATATAGACCGTGTAAGCTCCATCAAGAATCACAAAACTGGAGCTACAAGACTACTCATTTTTTCTTGATGCTTAATTAGAATGTTTGGAAACACCAATTCTACGTCGTGCTAGATTAAAGTTTAAACAAGAAGATCGGACTACGCGAAATTTTTCTGGAATTAGAGTTTATTTTGACATTTAAATTTAATTAACAAAGCGAAGAAGAAGAAAATAATACAAAGGACGTAAGTACTTAATGTTCAGAATTTGATAATCTATAGAGTGTATACAATATGTTTCTAAAATCCGAGAACGGCGCTAACGTTGTATAAGTGCGTATCAGTAAGCCGATTAGAATAAATTAAGGCCGAGATCGGCGATTAGCGATTACGCGAAGCACATAGATTATTCACTATTTATCGCCAGATCGCGATTGGAAGTGCGTAAGCCGGTTGCTGTAGCTTGCTGATTTATACCGCTCCGTGCCCTTCATCTCCGCGGCCGCGAAAAGAAAAATAATTACCGCCGAACACTGCCGAAGTAAGGCGAGCATCGCCGTTAGAACTTCGGAATTCAAAGAACAATGATCAACGGCTCGAAAATAATGTGAACGCAGATGCGACGACTTAGTCGGGATGCAAAAACTAAGCGCTAGGCCCAGCGTTGTGATTATCGAAGCAGAAGCGATCATTGCCTCGAACCTGCCGTTAGATTCCTTGCTTTTACACTTGTTCTATGCAAGAACATAAATTTTTATGACGAGCTACCACGATATCCTATTACTTCTTAATTAGTAAAATTATTTACTACGAATTATTTACTAATTCTTACTAAAAATTTTCTAGACTTATTTATTAAAATTTGTAAATCTATTATCGAGGTTCTTGGAATTTCAGGATCATCGTAGTTTATAATTTTAGACAGCAGTTGTTGGCCGCTCAGTTGCATGTACACAGCATAATCGGGCAAAAAGTTATTCTATATGCAAAATTAAGTTCGAAATTCATGCAGAATACAATCGTCCCATTTTAAATCTCGTTTACGAGACAATAGAACTTAAAAAGTCATTCAGTATGCATGCATTGGACTAGCATTGAAAAAAAGCTACATTGAACATTTCAGAGATATTTTCGTATGCGGAATAACATTCTGTACAATTGTTCCCTCGTGTCCTGCCGGTAATTGATCAAATTCGCTACTTGACAAGCTTCCAAATTCAATTAACACTTTTATATTTTTGATTTGAAACGGAGCTTCGAGTGAAAAAATGTTCTTCTACATTTTTCAACTGAATGTTCGTATAGAACAATTTCCTATTTGGTTGTAACACGTATCCTACTACAGGAGTATGCATAGTAGAATACGTCGGTTTCCATGTTCATTCTACTGACCAAAGTCAGCCAGTTAATTTCACGTGGCAACGATAACAGATGGCTTCTTCCCGCATCAGTCATAAATTAAAAGCCGTGGACAGTGGACGAATGCAAATTAAGAGCGGTAAATAAATCAGTGCGCCCATACGCGCGCGTTTTATGTTCGGAGTAGCGCTAATTACAACCATCCTTTGGAGCGGTGGCGCTGTGTAATTAGATACGATCGCGTGGAACATACGCCCACGTGAAGAAGAGGAAGGAGGAAAAGATGGGAGAAGAGAGAGAGAGAGAGAGAGAGAGAGAGAGAGAGAGAGAGAGAGAGAGAGAGAGAGAGAGAGAGAGAGAGAGAGAGAGAGAGAGAGAGAGAGAGAGAGAGAGAGAGAGAGAGAGAGAGAGAGAGAGAGAGAGAGAGAGAGAGAGAGAGAGAGAGAGAGAGAGAGAGAGAGAGAGAGAGAGAGAGAGAGAGAGAGAGAGAGAGAGAGAGAGAGAGAGAGAGAGAGAGAGAGAGAGAGAGAGAGAGAGAGAGAGAGAGAGAGAGAGAGAGAGAGAGAGAGAGAGAGAGAGAGAGAGAGAGAGAGAGAGAGAGAGAGAGAGAGAGAGAGAGAGAGAGAGAGAGAGAGAGAGAGAGAGAGAGAGAGAGAGAGAGAGAGAGAGAGAGAGAGAGAGAGAGAGAGAGAGAGAGAGAGAGAGAGAGAGAGAGAGAGAGAGAGAGAGAGAGAGAGAGAGAGAGAGAGAGAGAGAGAGAGAGAGAGAGAGAGAGAGAGAGAGAGAGAGAGAGAGAGAAATTAACGTCCACAGAACGGACGTTCAAGGGGTGCACTTTACTACGGTGAAACGGGTATGAGACACACGTTTGTGAGAGACGAAAAGGTGAATCGAGTGTCACTTCTATGTCGATGTTTATCGTGTACCTTTGTGGTATTAGCTAGAATTGCCATTTCTTTGAAAAGTCATGTTTAAGTACTATTGCTTTGTTATACAGTTGATACGAGTAAGTTTTGTAGAGCATGTGGCAAATGCAGAAGTTTGAAACGTTATACAATGGCTACAGAAAATACTTGAACATACCTTTATTTCCCCCTGAAGCGTCTTTTTGTTAGATTTTACATTTTATTACAAATTTAATATATTTGGACTTAATTAATTAGCATAAAAATTCTATAATAGATCCAATGGTGTACAAATATTTTTTGTAACCACTGTAGTTAGATTTGGGTGTATATTTTTGAAAATTTATAAACATTTCGTAATTTTCATTTATTTTTATTGAAACGCGTGAAAATAGATCGTGACACGGGTTGTTGTATGTTCTTGTATTATTAGTAATTAATAATTAATTTGCGTATATAATGATTCATTATTAAAAGTAATTAAATCTGGTTTGCATAGGGCTGAACAAGCCAATGCAAATTAACAAATGATTATATGATTGCGGTGTACGATGATTGAAAAGCGTAAACAAAGTGATTAAAGAGTATAGAGAATGAGTGTACCTGAAATGTGTGTTTTAATAATTTTCAATAATATTTGAATTCTATTATTCTGAAATATTTTTGTTTTCTTCGTGGGGAAATCTTTAAATATCTGTTATTCTATAATCAATTATACAAAATAATTAAAACACATGTTCAAACATTTATACGTATATTTTTGATTAAAAAAATTGTATCTCTATCTTTACATACGGAACGTTTTTAATTTTAATTATATTGAAGAGTTAATGGAATTTTTATATTTTGTAGAGAATGCTAAAATCCTAATTTTGCATTCCTTACAACTCGAAGAACTCGCATGAAAAATTCAAAATTATTTCTTGTCTCATTTTTTTTCACGATATTCTACCATATGTAGGATTGAAAAAATTTTTAAATTTTAAAATTCGCATTTCGTAATTCGTAATAGACATCAATTATCGTTTATAAGTCTCCTACAGACATCTCTAAAAACAGTTCCCAGGTTTAACGACCACTCCAACAACACTCGGTACTTTACAAAAGTATCTTCATCATAAATATTAATTATCCATTAACGTGTGTTCCGTCCTGTCAAATATCTTCTCATTAATACCATTTTCCATTTCTCAAAGAAAACACAGTAAATTCCTACAAATCGTCTGCTAACTTCAACATCCACTTCGCAACTCCAAGATCCTTCAATCCCGGTAAACTCGTGAAAATTACAATGAACAAATTCAACTCGCGCAATTTCCTTTGCAAGAGTTCCAAGAGGGGACAATAACTCACAGACATCGTTTCTCCTCAGTTTCTTCTCAGAAGAATTTCCTTATAAGATCACGTGACAACGGGGTCCCGCAATCGAATCTGGAAAGAGACGCTCAAGCAACCAGAGGACTTTCGCCAACTTTCCAAATGTAGAAGCTTCTCAGCCGTATTGAAATCTGCCTTCGAGAAGAAGAAGAACGAAAACACTGGCAACGAGCTTGTCTAAAACGGGGAAAAAGTTTCGCTACAGCTCGTTGAACCGGTAAGAACGATACGGTTGCGAGTTTCGCGGCTGACGGAAGATACCAGAACGACGATTATTTGGTTATCGCGTTGAGTCTCGCGCTGATTGGACAGTCCTTGAGTGTTAGCTTGTTACTTGGACGTTGGTCTTCCAGTTCTCGCGATTGGTACTCCTAGAACTTCCGATTGAAATTGCATCGCGTCCCTAATTAACGGTAAGAATTTCGTCGAGGCGATCCTCCAGCCACAGAATCGCCCTGATTGCTGTTTACCTTACGTGCTTTCTTGTACCGAATCAAAGAAATATACTACATATAGAATATATATAGAAAGAATAGCCTCGTTTACTGGTTGGTTGGAACTAAACGGGTGATTGGGGACGTGGGGACTTAGTTTGTAGTAGTTTGTGGAGGTTCGTGGGGCAGGTTAAGAGTAAAATCGTGGAAGTTTGATAGAGTCAGTTTGGCATTATTTGAAAACTTGGGTACAAATGAGATTGGTAAGATATTTAGAGTTTGAAGTTTGAATTCTTTCTGAAGTTATAGAAATAAGATTAATTTGAATGGTATTTTTAGGATTAAGAATTTTGTAATGATGGAATAATGGCAATTTCTACATTAGCTCCTCTCGTCTACCTTTTTAGTCTTTGAACGAAGAGCATTTAGTAAGCATCTCTTATATGGATAAGAAGTTTCTTCTTTTCGGTAGTTTTAAGTATTATTTTATCTCCTACAGTATAACAAACTTATAGTATATATAAGATTAGTGTGATATGTATAGCGTAAATGCTACTAAGATACATAAATATTCCTGTCTTTCAATATATAAGTTTGATACCATAATAGTGAAAAACATGTTGCACATATTTAATAAAACTATTCAAAGAACGAGCACCTAGTTATGTGATATTTTCACAAAAAAAAAAAAAAAATAAAAAATTGTTAAAAGAAATATATAAATGACTACCCAAATGATTGCCCAGGCAAAGATTGAGTCTCAAAAAGTGTATTGAATTTATATTGCTTATTTGTATCTCTGTACATTTCTGAGATAATCGAGAAAAAACTAATCTATATACCTTCACACGTAAATAAATTTTTATTGTTTCACAATTCCTTTTCATTTTTGACAAAGATGGAATTATGGAAAGTATCAAGATTCACCTTTCTCTTTATTGCCACGGATTAATCAACGCGCAAAAACTTCTACCACCACGCGATCAGACATTAAAAAATTATTCCTCGCTCTAAATCCATTAATTTACATAACTACATACTAATTTACCAAACACTTATTTTCCAATGCATCAGTCTTCCTCCCGCTCCATATTTAACCCAACCAAATTAATCGAAGCTAATAACTCACTGGCGAGATAATCACGAGCTGAACCTTTCCTTTTACCCCATTCACCTGGAAATCCCTCAAGGAAACCACTTACAAATATTAATCTTTACCGGTGATTCCCATCGAGCGTGTCGTTCGTTTCCGCGCGTATATCATATCGCGCAGATTAAAACCACCTGCAAATCTCAGAGAACGCGAACATGCGCTTGTACTAGAAAGAACAAACAAATTTCCAGCAAAAGCGCGGACGATCTCGGCATTTATTCCATACGTAACAGGAATAAAAATAACGGGCCCGATTTTGAACAAACCGTGTGTATTTATTGCTAAAAAGAAAAGTCTGCCGATACTGTGAAAATTCGTTCGAATAGGACGAACGCGAAACGGATGCACGAAACGACCAACCGAACGACAAACACGCGCGCAAAATTCCAACTACGTATGGAACTTCCGGAAAAATGAGAGCGAACGAAAACGTAGAAAGAAAATACGCGGCGGGAGAAAACGGGGCAAGCACATTGTACCGGTTCCCCGTACGACGTGTACTTACAATCGTTCATAATTATGAGGGCAACGCGGTTCTGCGTCCTAACAAGGAGCATTATTCAACGAAAATGCAACGGGGTTGCGATACATGTAGCAACTATGAGACTACGAAGGATCCTCTGCATATATTTTCTTCTTCCTCTACGTGGATTCTGGTTGTAGAGGAGATTGTGGTAAAATTTGAAGCTTGAGCATAAGGTTCTGTAAGTCTGATGTCTAATAGAATATCGGCGAAATTAAGATTTCAATAGATTCGTTCGATATTAGTATAAATTAAAAAGTATAGCTGCGTTTCTGAGTATGGAAATTGGTCTACTCTACATGTCTAGTAAATTTCTCAATTTTATTATTTACTTTCCAATGGACGTGAAAACTTGCTTCAACGCGTTTGTTTATTCGTTACAAGAAAATAATAGAAATGATCGAAAGTAAATTTGAAGATGAAACATTTGCAGTGACATTACTTTTGTCTTCTTTGTCAACTTCTGAACAGTGATCAGTATGGTTTCAACTATTGTTCAAAGATGCGATCGTGTAATTTCGACGTTAACAAAATAAAAGGCGAAGAATATTATGTAACATTGAATTGGTCAGAAAATTCTATCTTTCTTTTCTGTTAAAAGGTAATAAATCATTTGTCGTTTATATGAAAGTTGTAAATATCGAAGGACGAAGAGAAACGAGAAGAGAGCGATTTCGCAGGACAAAATAAAACAAACGGTAGGAAACCTCGACAAGCCAGGAGAACGTGAATGCGAGCAGACAACGAGTCGTACCCCGCTTGAATTGGAGAGGGTGTGCAACGTTCTGGTGTTGTCGACGACGACGTCGTAGCAGCTTTTAATTGCGTATTCGGCATGTTGCTAAAAAGGACTTCGTTATCCGCCACCGATACACACGAACGCGCAACAAAAGACTGCAAACGGAAGCATAATTAAAAATTACGAGGCACGTGAAAATCGTGATACCTCGTGAATGTCGTACCTTTTCGCGGCTAGCGGGGTTGGAATTTAAGGGAGATAAGAGAACAGCCTCCAGCAACGATCCATGATATGTATATACTGGCGTTCCCTCGTAAAATCGTCGCGAAACGTGAGATAAGAACCTATCCTCTCCAAGTCTTTGAATGACGTTCGCTAATCTTGCGGTACGAGATGAGGTTATTGAGGTCTACACCGAGAAAACTTTGAGAAGAATGAGGGAATAATGGTGATCAAGAAGATTACAAATGATCATTTTGTGCATCTTTCTTTGCAAGTGTTTACAGTAGCCTGATGATTATTGTATCAATTTTTATTGCTTCCTTTGAGAAGAGATTTTTTATCGAGTTCTTTACGTGATTGTATAACTATAATATCGTAACATCATATGATTTGAAAGTTGTGTACTCGTACTTACTCATACTTTCGTATGGGTACATGTTTTAGTTCTTAGTTTATAATGCTATGTGTATCGAATAATTTGTTCCTGATGGTAATAGGAATTTTGACATCGATCAATTTTTGCAACCCGGCAAAGATAGGAATTTCAAAAGTAATCTCAACTTTTATATAAGAACGAGAATCGCAGTAATCAGTCAAGCTTTAATCTCACAAGAAATCGTTTCAGTTACATATATAACCTGCAACATAGAGAAGTAAAAAACTTCCTCCTAACGACTTGCCTTCTCCAGAAAAGACAGTATCCCAATAAATATCTAGATACGCTAAATAAACCAAATAATACAATCTAACCCGGCGCCGAATCATTCACAGTTTCCCATCGACTGTTCTTAGCCTCGTATGCTTTTAACATTCGAACCAGCCGTAAACGCAGAGCGCGGCAGCAACAGGACGAAGCAATTCGAGTGACAAAGGTGAGAGGCGCGTCTTTGTCCGAAGCAGAACCGCGTGGAAATGCGAAATTTATCCGATGCGTAATGAGGCAAAATTAATCAATCGTCGATATTGCAGCTTGGCCGCTCCGGGAATCGGAATCCTTTGTGAATTATGGCCCCGGTGAATGGATGTGGCAACGTACGGACGCATAGATTACAAATTCTCGAATGCCCGATAGCTTCCGGTGTCGTCGCTAGAATGGAACTAGCGAATCGAAAACATCGAATTCATCCGAGACTTCCGGTGTTTTTTTTATCATTCGACATTAAAGCGTTCGTGTTCCCTCTCTCTCTCTCTCTCTCTCTCTCTCTCTCTCTCTCTCTCTCTCTCTCTCTCTCTCTCTCTCTCTCTCTCTCTCTCTCTCTCTCTCTCTCTCTCTCTCTCTCTCTCTCTCTCTCTCTCTCTCTCTCTCTCTCTCTCTCTCTCTCTCTCTCTCTCTCTCTCTCTCTCTCTCTCTCTCTCTCTCTCTCTCTCTCTCTCTCTCTCTCTCTCTCTCTCTCTCTCTCTCTCTCTCTCTCTCTCTCTCTCTCTCTCTCTCTCTCTCTCTCTCTCTCTCTCTCTCTCTCTCTCTCTCTCTCTCTCTCTCTCTCTCTCTCTCTCTCTCTCTCTCTCTCTCTCTCTCTCTCTCTCTCTCTCTCTCTCTCTCTCTCTCTCTCTCTCTCTCTCTCTCTCTCTCTCTCTCTCTCTCTCTCTCTCTCTCTCTCTCTCTCTCTCTCTCTCTCTCTCTCTCTCTCTCTCTCTCTCTCTCTCTCTCTCTCTCTCTCTCTCTCTCTCTCTCTCTCTCTCTCTCTCTCTCTCTCTCTCTCTCTCTCTCTCTCTCTCTCTCTCTCTTTTCTCTTGCATTCTTACTTTTTCCATTTCTTTGCGCACTTTAGAAAAAAACGCATTGTTCGTGGCAGACGAGCAATGTTCCGTAACGTTAAGCTCCTGGATTCTTTTTTGTTGCGAAAAAGAACCAGGCTTCTCTTTCTCGTCTTTTTTTTTCTTTTCTTTACGATGTAATGAAAAATCAATCGAGCACACGCCGACCGATTAAATTATCTTATTAACGTTATCGTTATGAGGGAGGAGGGAAAAGCGATCGTGAGAGCAATAGCGAATTTTTTTCGCATAAACGCTGTTTTTGTGTGAGAGTATGTATAATGTAGCGTTTACAAATATAAGATCTGCTTACCTTTAGTGGGATACAGCTTTATTATAAAATAATAGTAGGTAAAATGGTGGGTTTAATAATTTCATTCTTTTTTATCTGTTATACGGTAACTCTTAAAAATAGCTTGATATTTGTCCATTTTCCATAGAATGATAATTAATCGTAATATTATTGGTAAAAGAAGGTAGAGCGATTTTATTTTTCGTTATTTACTTTTGTAATAACGCTGCAATAGAACTGTCCCAGTTGTTTGGTATATAATATCGATTGTGCTGCACAAATAAAACTGGAAAGGATAAAGTCCCGGATTCTCTTAATGAAATGGATGGAACTGATTGTTATTCAGTAAGAATAAAATAAATTTCGATTTTGTAGATTTTTTGTGTTGGCATTCTGGTCTATGGCAAACACTGTATTTCGAAAAACATTGTATGGACGTGAATACATATGTGGCATGCGAATAAATCCTGTACGGTGTTGACCGACGCGATCCTATCTGAAGTAGGCCTGTGTTTATCTTGCACGCTATCATTGATGACATGAACTGTAGAATTGTTGTTGGAAAACATTGAATTGCGCTAAAATAAAAAAGATAAATAAAATAGTAAAATCATATAGAGAAAAAATAAAAATCGAGAGAACCGTAGAATTTTTTACCTACGTTCATACGTGCTTTTTTTATACCTATTGCATACATACGAACATTACACACAGTACATATATCTTCATATATATGTTTTTTCGAGAAACATTTTTCACGCGAATTTTTAGTTATTTGAAGTCGTCAAAACCAAGATACTCGCTCTGTATATTTATACGTTTTATTTGACAATTTCATTTCAAACTATACCATTTTTTATTTTAATCTACTTATATTTTACATAAAGAAATTGAATAAAGGATCACATTTTTACAACTATTCATCAAATTTTACAAGACATATTGCTAATACTTTTTTGTTCACTGCACGCCTAAAGCTATTCTGAATAATGTTTAATCAAGATTTATGAATAAGAGTAATTAGAAATGGATCACTATTTCGGAAGCTGCGAGTATGATTAATAATTAAATAAATTT